TTAACTATCGTAGCTCACACGTACCATTTTAAAGTGCTTCCCTGGGCCCTCCTAGATTCCTATTCTTTGCCCGTGCCCTCGGTGAATTGTACACGAAGCAAACTCTGAATGAGAATAATGACGATAAAAGATATAGCGCAACAGCTTTGATCATAAGCTGCAATTGCAGACTGCTGAACGCTAACAACTTCCGGTGACGTAATCACGCGCCACCGTAGGTTCAAGATTTACCTGCTTTATTTTTTAAATATTTTTTGTGACAATGAGACTGATAGGATGATTAGGGTGCAGCGTACATTAACACAAAAAATATATTACAAACATGTACAAAGACACACAAATGGTTGTTTGTTTTTTTCTTCTCTACACTCCTCGGATCTACTTGGGATCTGTCTTAGATCCACCGGTCGATCAGGATCGACATAATGGGCACCCCTGATCTACAGTATTTAAAGCTACCAAAGTCTTTGACGTCCCAAGAAACTCTTGATGCAGGATCCTTCAAAGGCTCAAACTCTTGTATTAACTGTATTTCGGCTACACGTACCCATTTTTGCGGGGGCCTCAGAAGTACAGGAAGACTGATTTTCAAACAGTTTAAGTCACCAACGAATACCATGCTAATTTGGATGACACAGATGGACGAGGTTCTGGATGGTTGGTGAATGGACAGCATGTCCACAAAGGCTGTGCTGCCAGCGAAGAGGCGTTAAATTGATGTTTTGTGCTGGAATAATGGGGCTGAGATGGTCAGCCCCTGTCAGGTTCATGGAGGTCTCAAAATGACAGAATGACCACAGAATATGAGGAGTTTGCAACTGACCAATTCCTGTCATGTTTTCAAAAGAATTACACATAATGCAGCAAAAAATTGCATAAGACGACAAATTATGCCACACTGCAAATACACAATTGAAACTGAATAAAAAGGGGGAAACACTGTGTGTGGCCACCATCATCCATGACCTCAATTCTATTAAAAGCTTGTGGACCAAGTTTAAAATGAGTCGTCAGTTTCAGTGGATTCAAGTGGAAATAATATTAATATATTTGAAGAATGATGTCAATGTAAAGACAGACTTGAATGGTTGTGCACAATTTGAAACACTGGATTTCATGTCATGACAATGTCATTGTGGTTGTTGTGTTAAATAAAATCCCTGGTGTTTATGTATTTTATCATAAAAGTTCATGTAAAAGTTGACGTTTAAAAAAAAAAAAAAAGGCAACGTAAATTTCTTTGTAAATGAACCCATTTCAAAATAAAACATCAGACAGACAAGCTGGATTAAAGCATGTGCAATGACCAAAATATGGGTTTGGATTTGTGGTCGTTGATCTATTTCTTTCCTCTGTGCAGAAAAACGGTCACACAATTGGACATGGCAAATAATAAGAAGGCTCTGGTGGTTCCAGCTTTCGAGACACTGCGCTACCGCTTGTCCTTCCCCAAATCCAAAGCAGAGCTCCTCTCCATGCTGGACATGGGGACACTCTATACCTTCAGGTACAGTACAAGAATGTGAATGCAGGATGTTGCCAGTATTCTATGATCAAATGTTCTCTACAATTCATTTCAACCCCTTATCAAAATTGTTCTACATCAGTTCCGATCCTCTATTTGAGATACAGTTTTTCACGCCGTAATTCTGGTAACAATTTAACGGGTTGCTGTTAACTATTCGATTAGGGGTGCACCGATTAATCGGCCGGAATCGATATCAGCACCAATTTCTTTTAATTTGGGGGATCGGTGATCGACTGATCCCTTAAAATAAAACCAGTCTTCTCCACCTATCTCATCTCCCTCCGCAGAGGTATGGAAAAGTCAGCCACTGTTCTCTTCTGCTGTGAGATTACCGATAAGGTATTGTTTTTTATTTGAGAGAACTACTTAAAATGCAATTAAAACAACCCGCTTGTATTGTTTCACAGGGAGTGTTCAGTGTTTCACAGTAAGACAAGATTGGAACATCGAAAGCATATGCTATTGGTTCTGGAAAAAAAAAAAAAAGATCGGGATCGGCAAGTCAGACATTTTAAAGATCGGTGATAGGCCAGAGTCATCGGTGCACCCCTGATTCTACGGTTATCAGAATTGTTCTACATCAGTTCCGATCCTCTCTTTGAGATACAGTTTTAACGCCGTAATTCTGGTAACAATTTAACGGGTTGCTGTTAACTATTCGATTAGGGGTGCACCGATTAATCAGCCGGAATCGATATCAGCACCAATTTCTTTTAATTTGGGGGATCGGTGATCGACTGATCCCTTAAAATAAAACCAGTCTTCTCCACCTATCTCATCTCCCTCCGCAGAGGTATGGAAAAGTCAGCCACTGTTCTCTTCTGCTGTGAGATTACCGATAAGGTATTGTTTTTTATTTGAGAGAACTACTTAAAATGCAATTAAAACAACCCGCTTGTATTGTTTCACAGGGAGTGTTCAGTGTTTCACAGTAAGACAAGATTGGAACATCGAAAGCATATGCTATTGGTTCTGGAAAAAAAAAAAAAAGATCGGGATCGGCAAGTCAGACATTTTAAAGATCGGTGATAGGCCAGAGTCATCGGTGCACCCCTGATTCTGTTCGTATTTTCGTTCGTTTTGAATGGGAAATGTATTGAGAGAACACTAAGGGCAGCATATACCACCAGAGGCTGTACCAGGTCTTCAATTATAAATCAAATGTAAGAGGTTCTTTCACCTGCTTATTGTTTTGGAGTGATCAAGAACATGCCAGAAAGCGCCAGATTGAGAATGTAGCGTAGAGGGTTTGCCGAATTAATCCCAACATGACAGTGCCCTCTCAGCCAATGGGTTTCTTACATTTTGGGTGACAGTACAGTGAAACTCCTCTACAAAGAATCATGTTTGCAGCAAGAAATTTTTCACAACAGTCTGGGTGACAGTATATGGGTGGTACAAATTGTGATGAAAATCATCAATGATTTTTATTTTCATTTCCATGATGACTTGGCTAGTCAGTGTTGCTAGTGTGGCACAATGACAGCTGGGTAGTCATTGGAGTCATCTGAGACAAAGCCACACCGAGTAAACTTTGAAAGATGGTTTCAGCTTCTGGGAAGGAATGAAAGGAGAGCTTTCCAAAGCCCCTTAACACGGCTATTATACCTTGTGATTATATTGATACTGATGAAACTGAATGGTAGTGTTGATGGGTTCTGCATAAATAACAAGGCACTCTGGTGGACTCAGATTTACTTGTACAGTCTCAAGTGACCTAGTAGATGAGCGGACGTATGGACTTCATAGGAATGCGATAAAGGAAATGTATTTATAGGCTGTGTTGAAGCGTGGTCTTGTCTATAAAGACGGTTGGGTATATTCCGTCATAGATCCAGAGGGGATCAACTATTTGAGATCAAGGCACAAGTAAATACATCGAGTGTGTTCTTAGCAGGTGCGCCTCGGCCGGCTCCACTCACCAGCAGTTGCAAAGGAAAGACAGAAAATGAAGAAACCAAGAACATAACACTGTATGAAGCAAAAAGAAGATTTTATGACTTGTTTTATTCCATGTGCCAAACTGAAAACGAGTGCATCGTCCAAGGGAGAAACTATAATCTTATAGAGTTATATCCAACTTCAGCTCAAATTTGCTCACAAACTTGGGAATTCGTGTGCGGATCCTAAGTGGTCAAACTTGACACAGACTGCGCAGTTCCAGAGTTTAGGGGATTTGAGTGAGAAAATATGGGGATTGTCTTTGGCTCCAGAGCACGAAAATTAAAACTACTAATGTAAAGACGAGTGTTTATCTCTGTAAATTAAGGTGGGTTCCATGGGAGTGGAGCATGATGAGGGAAATCTGTCTCTTGGGTGCACTTCCTGTGATTCTTGGAACCACCATGAACTCTGTGACTGGCATGTCAAAGTAACATGCACTGAACTCTGTAGAAAACCCTTTTGAATCGGAACCTGATCAGTGAAATAAATCTGGTACATTTATTTTCAAACACATTTTCACCATGACTTATTTTATCTGCAGGTATCACGTGTGGCCGAAAGGCCATGCCTCCACCAACTATGCTAAATGGAGGACAGCCACCACACCTTATACGGTTGACTGGGAGGCAGATTTTGAGCCTTATGTTGTAGTGAAACGACATTGCCCGGAATATGATCAGCGCTTTGTGGGCTTCGGCTGGAACAAGGTTTCCCATATCATCGAGCTCGACGCACAGGTACTGTGCAACAGAAATGTTCAGATCTGTAACAATCACTGTACTTTGTTGCTGCATAAACTGCATTTCAGCCTGTTGTTTGAATTTGGTGGGTTGTTAAAGCGGAAGTCAAGGTCAAAATTTTCTTGGCAAAAATATGCTTTCTCCAGTCTAAACACAGTAAAAAATTACATTTGTGGCATAAGAATTAAGGTGATTAGTCAAGCCACCCATTTTCAACCATATTTAGGTGGCTGACATATTTATGCAGCATCGCCCTCTGCTGTCGACGTGAATGGACGACGTCAAAGTGCCACTAGCCTTAAATTTGGGAACGTCACGGTTCATCTCTTTTCTGGATTTGGTCATGTGACGTTCGCAATGCAAGCTCCTGGTTTACTTCTGCTTTATGGAATGAATTTACAAAATTAAAGAAACACGTCTACAATTAGTTTCACGTACAATATTAATACAGGGAATCAGGAAATGCCAGATTAAGTCATAATATTGATTTTGTTTTTTTCCTTTCAGGAGTATGACCTTATGGTTCTCCCGAACGCTTTCATGATCCACATGCCCCATGCACCCAGCTTTGACATCTCCAAGTTTCGCTCCAGCTCGAGCTACCGCAACTGCCTGAAGACTATAAAAGAGGAATTCCACCAGGACTTGTCCAGGAAATATGGCTCAGCTGCTCTCAAGTACCTCACTGCCCAGAGGAACATCTGAGCAATGCTGTCAGACACACCTTTTCACAAGATAAAGAGCTTATACATACCGTTGATTGATTGATGCTCAGCGATGGCCAGCACCAAGTCGCAATCCGATGGTCAAGCTTTACAGCCCCTACAGGACAAGAAGAAAGTTTAACATGATGGCAAATATCCTCATTTATATGGATCCACGAGGCCGATGCCGGTTTGAGACTGAAAGATCTCGCTTTAAAGCGTGTGATTGAAAACAATGTTAGAAGTTGTTTCGTCAATCAGGGATATTTCAGGCAGACATGGATCTCTGGAAACCAAGTTCAAGGACACAAAACAAGCAGCACAGTTGGCATTTACATCATAAAGTTAACGGTTGTGACGGTCAGCTGACCGGGAGGAAATGTTTACGCCTTATGACTTTGTACAGTGTTTACTAAGATATTTAATATTTTCATATCTACACTGTAAATATAAACCGATTAACTTAAAGAAGTGAGCCGGTTAATTCGTCATTCTTGTTGAGACCTTTATAATATTATCCATCAGAGGCCAGTTTCATTAATTAAGGAGCTTCAGGGGAGTGTTTGTGTGCGTCGACGTGTGGAGACTTTGTACTGCATTGGTGCCACACACTGTTAGCACTCTGCATCTGGTTTATTCCGGTTGGGTACGAATCACTCTGCAAATATGCTTAAGCACCACGTGTTCATGTGGTCTATTCACAAATGAAGAATAGTAAGATCAGGTATCTCATTATTTTTCCTTCCAGGCGACCTTAATAAGCAATGCAGTGATTGAGAAGAACTCAAAACTAAAACTTGTATTATCTAGAAGCTGTTATATGTATGACTGAATTGCAGATGCTTAGTTTTCTGTATATTTGGCATTGTTGTCTTATTCACTGGATATTGTGTGATCTGCTGAACCCTTCCAACAACACTTTTGTAGAGTGCAAATTAAATTACAAATTAAATTCATCAAAACACAGCACAAAATTGGAGCCTAATTCACAGAACATGTCGTATCCAAATTGATAATAGTTGACCTTGTTTTTCACCTGAGACTTTTGTTCAAAAAAGACCATTTCTCTTCATTCATACTGCAAGGTGCGATGCCCAATTTGGAATTTTTTTGTTCAATCCAATCTTGATGCACTTGTTGACATTACAAAAACAAATGCGGCTTCTGATGTTAACACAATGTGTTGGTGATGTGGTACACATGCGCAGATGCTGATTCACGTGCAACAAAAAAAAACGACTTCATGTGGCCCAGTGTTTACTCAAGTGGCCCTGCATATATAATGACTCATTTTATCATCTCATGTCGCCAGAGTAGCAAGGCAGGAGGAGGTAGAAACATTTTGGGGATATGAGGCAACGCTTCTCAATCTCCTCGTTTCATGGAGATGTCCACTAAAGATGACGTCACGTCATTGCTGCGCATAATAAGTGAAAAGTCTCCTTGGCTGAATTACTACTGTCGCCACAAATGTCCACCTTACGCTTTACGTTTCAAGTAGGATTAATTTAAAGTCTAATGTAAAGACAACAACTGTTACTAAAAAAGATATGCACAGATGAGATCTCATACTGTAGACACATCGCATACCTATCCGATTTATATCCACATCCAAAAGAGGCCCAGGTTGTATTTGAAAAAAAAAATCGGAACTACACTGTTCGCACTGCATGAAAAAAAAGAGCTACATGTCACATATTGGTAAAAAGTGAGATGCAATGTGAACACGGCCTTAGTTGGGTTTCCTAAATATAAATGGCCACACCAAAGGAAGTTTGTTTTCTGTTTTGTTTAGTTTTTATTTTGCATCATCCTTCAATTACTTTTAATCATCTACAATTTGTCCCTGCAGGAATTCGCGACGTAACACTGGCAACATTTGCCGCGGATTTCAAAGCCCTGCGTGGAATTGAAAGCAGTCCGGGTGCCCAATATTACTTTTACATGTCGTATTTGATCCTGGTATCTACATGTCGTGATCAGACAGGATACACTGCAGAGCGTGATGCCCAATTCATTTTTTTTCCCCATGTTCTCATTCATGTGACAAAAACAAATGTGTCCTACAATGTTAACTGGACGCTTCCATGATGTGACACACGTGTGCATAAAGCACGACGTCGAGTGACACACGCAAAAGACGATGACATGCGGCAGTGAATACAGGAATAAATCGTGTAGGGACTCTATTTTTTTTTTTTAATCACCAGCTGAAGATCAATATGGGAGGTGTTGGGAATTATTTGGGCGAATTGAGGCAACGCTTTTGTCTCCATTTGATGGAGGCAAAAGCGTTGCCTCAATTGATGACGTCACATTATTGCCGTGTATAAAAAAATGAACTGTCTGTGTGGTTGAATGACATTTACTGTCATACTGTATGCAGTCTGTTAACAATATCCAGGTCAAGTGGCGAGTTTACAATTTAAGTCCTTGCTTTAATATCACTTGTTCTGCCCCAATTAATTAGCTTTTCAGCTCATCATTTTAGATGTTTTTTTTTTTAACTGAACATGGAAAATCACCATTTAAGCCAAGGAAGCAAGATTTGCTCTCTGCACAATCAAAATTGTTCTCCGCGGAAGCAACACTTTTTCACAGCAGATTCCTGTGTCGACTAGACAATGACCAAAAATTATTTTTATATAAATATCTATTTTTTGAAAATTATTTGTTCATGAATTCATTTTGGTGGCAATGCTAAAGACAAATATCATTAAAACATGTCAGGTTCTAATAATGATTCCTAAAGGTCAGGCACAAAATGGAATGGCTATGGCACCCTAAACAATAATTTTGAGGTTTTATTTTGCATTCCTGGTTTGAGAGAACACCCTTGGCACATCAGTGTACACAACGAGCGGTCTTGCGGGGTTCCGACAAGTTGTTTAGAAAGGTGATAGTTTTTATATATCACCCATCAATACTTCCCGCAATGTTTATCTGGGGTCAGGTCACGGGGGCGGCAGTTTAAGCAGGGAAGCCCAGAGTTCCCTCTCCCCAGCCACTTCGTCTAGCTCTTCCAGGGAGATCCCGAGGTGTTCCCAGGCACTCCAAGACACGTACACAGGAGTCATTTTCTGTGTCTTCCTCAGGGCCTCCTCCTGATGGGAGGCATTCTGAACACCTCAACATCGAAGCATCCTAAACGGATGCCCGAGCCACCTCATCTGGCTCCTCTCGATACGGAAGAGCAGCGGCTCTAATCCAAGGCCCTCCCAGATTTCCGAGGTTCTCACCCGAGCAAACACAAACCCCTCATTACAGAAACTAGTAACTAAAGAGTTGAATAAACCTTCATACTTGACTTCTTTCTATGGTTTCAGTCATAACAGCCCTCCAAGTGAAACGGTAACTAAAATATGGCCAGCGACAAAAATGAGATGAGATCTCCCACTCCATTCTTCCTTCACACGAAACAACACCCCAACGACACTTGGACTCCTCCGCTTTGGGAAGGATCTCATCGGAGAGGGCACTCCCATCTTTCACATTCAGCTGTGAAGCACTCCAAAAAGAGTTGATTCTCTGTCGAATGCAGCCCGATGAGGTCCGTAGAGCCACATCATCTGTAAAAAGCAGAGACGTACCAAACCAGGAGCCCTCAACACTTCGGCCGCGCCTTTCTCACGTATTCTGTATGTTATGGTTACAGTTAGGTCCCCCAACCTTTTTTTTTTTTCACCATGGGCCAGTTTCACGTAAAAATATATTTGGTCGGCCCAGTGAAGAACCAAATAAGAACAAATAGAAACGACGACACCACTCGAGCCTCACCTCTACTGCTCTATACCCAAAGGGGAAAAAAGACAAAAGTTGTTTCTGTTGTCTTGTTCTCTCTGTGTGGCCCAGTGTTTTGGAACCCCTGTTTTAGCAGCACAGAGTATCTGAAGATCCAAGAACTATATTATCATGAGTGGGTGCTATTGAGACCACTGGATAATAGTTGGCTATTTCGAGAAACAATAAGAATGGGTGCTAAATAGGACTCGGAAGCAATTATGTTACATAGTCAAGCCAAAGAACAGCATTTGGGTACTATGTCGAAACTTTATTTTGTTGTACATAGCCTGCTGGCGTATTACAGCACCTAAGTAAATTAATTCATGAGATCTTGTTCCTTCTGTGAATTTAAGTTGTGCTACCTTCACCACATAAAATATGCCACAAAAGGCAAGAAGGTAAAATCTGACTTTGAGCAGGAGATTGGTATATTTGCTCCTCAGTGGTGTATTCACGGCCAAAGAAAATGTGTGTGTGTGTGTGTGTGTGTGTGTGTGTGTGTGTGTGTGTGTGTGTGTGTGTGTGTGTGTGTGTGTTTTATGCCTACTAAACTTTTGAGAACCAAACATATTCCATTGGCACCTTTCAATGAAAAACTAAAGATGGTACCAAATCAAAATTGCCTAGATAAATCACATTTTCGCTCCACACCCACAGACTGTCCCAAAGAACACTTTGGGCCAGTGTTTAGAAAGGATTTTTATTGGTCTCTGGTTTTGATATCCTAAACTCTTGGTATTTGAAGAGGAGTGTGTCAAGGTAGTCTGGAGTTCTCCGGACAGAATTGGATTCTTCAAACGTAGACTCAGATAAGGATTGACAAAAAGGTTTTATTCAGACAAAAATGTGCAAGGCCGCAAAGTACAGCAAAGGCCGCTGGTTACAATAAACCAGGAAATCACAAAATAAACGCTTGCAAAGGCAAGGACAAAAATCTACGAAATTTGCTTGTCATAAAAGGACAAGAAAACCCAAAGTGCCTTACCTTACAAACCGTGACTTGAATTATCAACCAAAATACTATTGAGAACAAAGAAAATATGTGGTGATAAACTACAAGGCGGTTGGGTTCGATACCTCTAACAAGGGTTAAGAACCACTGATCTAGAGTATTCGGGCACTTGGATACAGAGTTCTGAGCAAGGCGAATTTTCCGACAGCAGTGGTTGGCGTGGCGTGGCTTTTTAAAGGTGGTATGTAAGGCCAAATTTCTGTCAGGTGCGGCTCGTGAGGAAACGCCCACTCTCCAGCTGGAGGAAACAAAGCAAACAGGACAGGATCATGACAGAGTGTATAAACTTGTGTTTTTTTGTTTTTTTTTGTCTGCTGTAACTAATTAATTATCTTCACTGGTATGAGTAGTGGTAGGCATGCCGCTGTATATTACACTGTATATTTTATAAATGAGACCTCTGGAAATTAGAGAGAAAAAGCAGTGGACCAATAGTGGATACAACATTTCATGACAAGAGCATTGCATGGTTCTGGAATTGCTATACGGGATTAAAAAAATGTGTGTTTTATGTGCATCTCTATCAACCTCCTCCCCGCATTAATTGAATACAAGGTGAACAGAGAAACAGTCCAGGTTTTGAGCAAAGCAGATGCAGTGAGGCCTTTACCGTGAGTCAACAGCATTATGCATGAACATGAATCATGAATCCTGCCCCCGCACTACTGCCATCAATGCCCCGTCCATTGACTTGTTGCTAATTGTGGTGAATGCTATACTGTAGTGCCTTTGCTGTATTGTGGAACTTGATTTTGATTGTCACAAAAAGGCCTGTCCTCAGGCACTCTATTTATTATTATTGGATCTTATTTTTCTATGTAAGTGCTTGAAATAAATTTGCCCTTTTCTAATTGTTGAGCCCTGTTTATTCTGTACACACCACAGAGCAAACCGAGATCAGTCTTGTTGGCTTCTTATTTGCTTAAGAGCCGCGATGACAAAAATGCTGTTTAAAATGCATCAAGAATAACAATAACTTTAGATCAGCTGCATTGATTGCAATTGAGTTGTTCAGTGGAAGGTCAGGAAGTTGAATTTGGCGCCTTTGAGTCACAGCCTGTTACACAAGCTCTGCTAGGTTTTCTCTTATACGTAGTTTTCCGCCCTTATTTTTAAATATATTTGTATTTGTTATTGTTAGGTTTAGTCAACCTACAGCATTTAATAAACAACAAACACGGAAGGAAGACAAGAGAACGGACAGGTTGTACCCGGTTACAATCTCCGACCCGCTCTGAGATACAACCTGCCGAGTCCTTAATTTATTGAAAAAAGAGGTCCTTAATACACGAGCTTCGAAAGGGAAGGGAGGTGGAAGCACACACATATG